GCTCCCCCCATCCCTGTGCTGAGTTCCCGGGTCTGTACACCCGCTGTGCCCATTATGAGGGACTCCCACCATCCCTGTGCTGAGTCCCCGGGTCTGTACACCCGCTGTGCCCATTATGAGGAGCTCCCCCCATCCCTGTGCTGAGTTCCCGGGTCTGTACACCCGCTGTGCCCATTATGAGGGGCTCCCCCCATCCCTGAGCTGAGTTCCCGGGACAGCGGAGGGCACTTACTCGGTAGCGGTTGGCGCTGATCTGCTCCACCTGGAATCGCTTGGCGCAGTTACACTGAGCGACCTGCCGGTTCACCTGTCGGGGACACACAGAGACGCGTTTTGCATTCTGCAGGTAATACATTCCCAACGTCTGAAATTAATTACTAGAAGTAGATAATTGTGCGTCCACCAGGGGGGGGGCGGAGTCCAGACCTCACCTCGTCCTGAATGCGGTCGGCGTCGACGATCCTCCGCATGGGGTCTCTGCTGGGGTGCAGCGCGCTCACAAACTCATAATAGTCAATGAATCCGTCACCATTTATATCGAAAATGTTTGCCACGGCCGTCATCTCCAGAGAGTTGGTGGGAAATCCTGGAAGGAGAACATTCATTATTATATCTGACCTCCGACCTCCCCTTCAGTCTTCTATCTGACCTCCGTCCTCCCCTTCAGTCTTCTATCTGACCTCCGTCCTTCCCTTCAGTTGTACCGGCTCCTCTTCTGGACTTCCTCTGATATCACTGCACACTGGGTGTTCCTCACAATGTGCATTAGAAGCTGCAGCAAGCCAGATAGAGCTCCGCCTCACTTCCTGGCTGGAGGACGTCCAGCATCATCTAGCTCTAACCTCCCCAGTCTCACTGTCCCTGGCCCCGCCCCTTTCATTCACTGGATTTCAGTTCATTCAATCAGGGAGCTCGGCATCACATGTGGGCGTGGCCTAAAACTATGATTTCACTGCACACTGTGAGGCGGCCGTGTGGTTACTCACGGGAGGAGAGCACGCTGTCCATGAACTCGCGCTGACTGATGCGTCCGTCCTGGTCGCGGTCAATTCCTCGGAAGACGTCCAGAATCCGCGACTTCATCTGACCGATCCACTGCATGTATCTCTTCCGCCACACCGCAAAGTCAAAATGCGCAAATTCCTGCAGCTGGAGGAGCGGAGAGAGCGAAGAGTGAGCGAGAGCCGCGCAGACATACACAGGATGTGCGAGGAAGAATGTTCCATTATTAGACCCTCCCAGATAACAGAATATTCTCCTATGTTGTTACCTTCCCTCACCCGCCTCTGTACGGCGCTGGACGCAGATGTGCATTACATGCGTTTCAACTCCAACATTCGAAGACGGGTTTTTGTCAGCCCGGGTGTTCCCGGGGATCCCCAAAGTATATATAACGAGGAGAGGGCCGCGAGGTGAGGAAAAGTTCAGTGAAAATGAATTGTTTACAATTAGAGTTTAAAAGATATCGCTAACGCATTTCACAGGCTCCTCCCCCTTCATCAGGAAAGAGACCCTATGTCTACATTTCCTTCACACAACAAGCAGCTAAAATACTCACCAACACTCCAGTGATTTCCTGGCTAAACTATTATAACTCTACAGAGCTTTACCTGTGTCCAGGCACTCCTGATATCAGTGCACTTCCTGTGTCCAGGCACTCCTGATATCTCAGTGCACTTCCTGTGTCTAGGCACTCCTGAAAGCAGTACACTTCCTGTGTCTAAGCAATCCTGATAGCAGTGCACTTCCTGTGTCTAGGCACTCCTGATAGCAGTGCACTTCCTGTGTCCAGGCACTCCTGATATCTCAGTGCACTTCCTGTGTCCAGGCACTCCTGATATCACTGCACTTCCTGTGCCTATGCACTCCTGATATCACTGCACTTCCTGTGCCTATGCACTCCTGATATATTAGTGCACTTCCTGTGTCTAGGCACTCCTGATATCGGTGCATTTCCTGTGTCTAGGCACTCCTGATATCAATTCACTTCCTGTGTCTAGGCGCTCCTGATATCAATTCACTTCCTATGTCCAGGCACTCCTGATATCGGTGCATTTACTGTGTCCAGGCACTCCTGATATCAGAGAACTTCCTGTGTCCAGGCACAACTGATATCAGAGAACTTCCTGTGTCTAGGCACTCCTGATATCAATTCACTTCCTGTGTCTAGGCGCTCCTGATATCAATTCACTTCCTATGTCCAGGCACTCCTGATATCGGTGCATTTACTGTGTCCAGGCACAACTGATATCAGAGAACTTCCTGTGTCCAGGCACTCCTGCTTTGTAGCGTCATAGCTGCAGTGTGAGATCATCTATGGCACTGAGCGATGAGAATTTGTGATGTCACCACAGTGCTGCCCACTGTTTTTGCTGGAGAAGAAGCTGTACCCGAGGACATGCAGCACAAGGATCTCCCTGCTTCTGCTTCATCCGTTCTACGCTTCCTGTGCTTCCTCTACCTCTATCATTACCCCACCCGTCATCAGGAGGGCAGATCCAACAGGAGGAAGCACAGACCTGCCTCTACCAAGATGGCCGCCTCCACACAGAGCATAGCAAGTCACGGTAAGTCAGTACTGAGGTAAAAGCATCTGCAGGGAGACCGCCGGTGACTGATCCGTTGTTGTCCGCTTGTGTGAAACAAATACAAGTCACGTACATAGAATTCTCTTGCTGACCTCTTCTATCCTTGCTTCACATTACAAACACGTGGCACCTTCCCTCTCATAGACGCCATCTTTGTCTTGGTATTTGGTGCTGTACTTGTGTAACACTGTGAACAGCCTCAGGTTCAGTTGTATACACCACAGGCGGGTGATGTCGCCAGCAGCGAGAGGCTCAATCTTATATAACAGGGCTAGGCAGCCTAGTGCTGAAACTACAAATCGCCTCTGCCCCGGGAGTCATACCTGTGGTGGTCAGAGTCTTGCAATGGCTCATGGGATTTGTAGTCTCACAACTGCTGGAATGCACGGTGGCCTATCCCTGTTATACGAGGTAACATGAAGGACGGCGGGTGAGGCCATTCCTGAAATGCTACAATCAGCAGTGGACACATGACCCGTGCCATG